CTTACATAAATAACTGCGAAACATGGACCACCTACAGAAAACACATAAAAAGCCTAGAAAAATACTACCAGCGATGCCTAAGAAGGATCCTACGGATTAAATGGCCAGATCGGCGAACGAACATTAGTGTTTTAGAGGAGGCCAACCCAACTAACTTGGAAGCTCTTATCATCAAGCACTAACTTCGCTTGATAGGTCACCTCGTTCGCATGCCCGAAACACGTCTTCCCCAACATATTCTCAGTCAGCTGAAAGATGGAAAACGGAATCAAGGAGGTCAACAAAAACGCTACAAAGATGTTCTATAGGAAATTTTGGCAAAGTGCCACATCGATATCAGCAACAGTCCAGGACAAATAATAGGCCCTCGCGGAGTCGAGTAGTCCACAAACTTTTGAAGAACAGCGACGCAGACACGAGACCGAAAAGAGGAAACGCAGGAAAGTGCGAGAGATCAGAGAACCCATAATATGAATATTCTTGTTCGTGCAACTGAGCCTAGGATAATGCATTCATACGTTAAGCCAATGAAACCGCATACATTAAATTGAAAATTCGATTCATTAAGCCCATGTTATTTGTACATTATATTAAAGAAGTTATTTCACTCAGGCAACGAATTCTATACGTCAAAATGATAGAATCCTTGCTCTGCGACAATGAATTTAACCGTTAAATCAATGAACCTTTTTTTCATCTATTTAACGAACAGCTTTTCATAATATTAACAAATTCGTTCACCGGCTCAATATTAATGACGAGATTCACTGGCTCAATGCACTTTTTCGTTATATTTGTGTACCTTTTTTTTTCAGTGTAGGAAGTAGGAATAGGCGAGGCAAAAATCTGGATAGTGAACAACAAAGTAGAAAACTGTGAAACATGATTAGTAGTATTTTTCCTTTTTCCGAAACGTTGCCGACAGCTTGATTGTTCCTTTTTTTGGTCCGGTCCTCTTACCAACGAAAGTAAAACATATCTTTACAAAGACACGAAATGATCACAGTACATTAAAAAGGTTATCTATTTTCTTGGTGAGGCAATCAATCACCAGCATGCTTGGACGGAAATGTGTGCCCCCAAATTGGAGCTTGTGCTCTGCACCTTTCGTCATTTACTCCACAATGGCGTCCTCTAGAGCAGAGAGTTCCTCTGCACTAAGGGTTTCCTTATGGAATGCCACGGGGAGTGCTGCTACTTTTAGGTTTTTGCTGACTCGACGTAGTTGGTGCTTGGCCCAGCGGCTTTTTCAGCATGAGAAGGCTCTCTTCGTTTCCTCTTTACGTCCGTTTTGTGCGGAGGGGTTATGTTCTTGGGCCCCCCTCCTCTGTGCTTTGTCTGGCGTGTCCTGTGCCTTCTTCCTCGGTGCATTTTCTCTGGCTTCATCCGGTGTCATGCCCTGTTGAATAAACCTGAGGTACCACCGTACTGCAGCCCCACTGAGGCCTTTCTTCAGTGGCTCGTAGAGCCCTCCAGGTTGACCAAGAGGTGGCTGACATGGCGGTTTTCTGGGGTCAGCCGTTGTTTGTTGGGGTTTCTCCCCCGTGGGTGTGGTACCCTTCTTATGTTTTGCAGAGCCCTCTTTTCTCTGAGGTGATCGCGGAGGATGGGAGGGTCCCGCCTGCTGACTGTCTTGGATGTCATGCTCCATTCGGTCAGTGATTGACTTAGGAGGGTCATCCCGCTTTTCTTTGTATTGTGTTTTTTTTTTCCAAATTCATATCCATGTTGGTTTTCACGAATAGCTAGGGAATTGAAGGTCGACCACGTCGAAGCCCCGCACGACGTGGTCGCCTGGTATTTTCAGGGCTCTGTTTGAGGCGGTGCTCTCCCACCATCATGCAACTCTCGGCACGGATCGCGTGACACCTTGGGTTGGAGTGTTGGTCAGCGTCACCTTATTGGCTATTCGGTGATGACCTATGATGTGGGTGCTTGCAGCTCAAAAACATAGGCCGTTCGGCCATCCGTCACCTGCCGACTCTCCCCCTTAGCCTCCCAAGCCAGAGGGACGTGCAATGTATGGATGCCAGGGCTTTCAGCCCACCTTGGCTATCAGAAAATATTTTTATCGACTTGTGCGTTTTTTGTTTTTTTCAGAAGCTTTTTCGCGCCAAGCTCGATTTCCAGCAATTCGGCCTGAAATATGGTTACGTTTTTGCCAAGGCTGACCAAAATTCCCATCCTTGGCTTTTTACCATATACCCCGACTATCGCTGCCCCATAGCTCTCTTTCGTGAATTATTGTTTTGAAGGGCAAACCAAAGTTGGTTTTTTTTTTGCATTATGGCAGAAGGCATGCTAAGGGTGCCGTTTAGATCTTTTTCATCCATAAGTACCGTGTGTTGCATTGCGCTTCTCTCTTCCAAAGTGCTTTTTTTTTTGAAGCATGGTAAAGCCGATAGGTTGACTTCATTGCTTCCCTCTTCATGTAGGTATATGTGAAGTGAGGTCAGGTTAATTAGGACTTCCATAGCTGCTGTAGGCGTGATGCGCAACGCTCCCGTTATGGCCAGGCAAGCTTTTCTCTGCAGTCCGCTAAGTGTGGCTTGAACCCTCTTCTGATTCGCCTTGCCCCACCAGACTACAGAGCCCTAGGTTATCATTGATCTGATGTAGATCCAGTGAATCTGTTTTGGATTTGTTTCCCAGATCTTTCCACAGATCCTGTGGCAGTTTCCAAGCGACAATTTTGCCTTTTGGCTTACTTTTTCCAAATGATCGTTCCAGTTTAGATTCTTGTCCAGGATGACTCCCAAATACTTTGCATCATTTGATCCCCGATTAGTTAGGAGTACCAAGTTATCAAGTTTTCTTATCCTGGTAAAGAGTATACTATGACCATTTTGTGAGGATTGACTGTCATTTCCTCTCTCTCGCACCAATCAATAAGCACGCAGTCTAGCACCTCTTGGAGTGCAGCAGAGACCCTCGTCTCAGAACTACCATTGGCTATTACAAGCCCCTGGCGGCCTGACCGTTTCCCCCTTTAGAGAAGTTATTATTCTCTACCGTTCAGCATGGTCCTAATCCAGTTACAAATTAGCGGGTCGATGCCTCTAGATTTTGTCGCCTCGTAAAGAGTGCTTGGCATTGTTGTCTCCTCTATGTTCAAGAAGGCGGCAAGTGCAATGCTCTTACTTTCCAGAGAGACGTCTATGCTATCGACCAGACTACTAAGAGCCAGCTCTGTGGACTTTCCTGCCTGATAGGCTTTTGATGGGCATCATGGGAGTTAGTCCTGAGTGCCTCTCCCTTAAACCACTCATCCAGCACCTTTTCTAAAGTTTTCAGGAGGAACGATGTCAGACTTATTGGTCTGGTTGGAGTGTGGGTTCTTTGCGCCCCACTTTACGGTTATAGATCACCTTGGTGGTATATGTTTCCACGCCAGACTGGCTCTGAAGAGTCTTATTAGGAATGACAGCAGGATCCCAGGTGATTTAAAAGGGTGGAATGATAGGACCGCCTCCTTTATGGCTGCCGCTGTAATTATTTTATTGGCTGTCAACCAGTCTTCTCTTCCAGGTCGTTTAATCCGATCACTGGGTTGGGCATCCTGGAGGCCATTCATCAGCAGACTTCCTGGGAAGGGGTTCTTTGTGAGAATCTCTAACGTTTCTTTTCTAGATTGTGTGTAGGATCCATCTGAGCATTTTATCGACCCTAACTCCTGCATACGCTCTTTTGATAGGATCTTGTGAATTCGCGCGCTGCCAGGCCCATCTATTATGCCCTCGCATAGCTTCCTCCAAGATTCTGTTTTTGCCTTTCTTATTGCTCTGTTGTAACTCATTAGAGCAGCTCTATAACTTTGCCAGTTACCTGCTGTTTTAGCTCGATTAGACAATTTCCGAACTTCTTTCCACAATTTATTTAGGCTATTGTTCCACCAGGGTGTGCTTCTGTTATCTTTTTTAACTCTTAATGGACAGTTTTCTTGATAAGCTGATATGATGGCATCGGTTATTCGGTCCGCCATGTAATCCAGCTGATCACGATTTCTGGCGGACAGAGTGAAGTCACGCAAGTTATTTCCAAGGGACGTTCTTTATCCGTCCCAATCAGTATTCCTTACGTTTCTGTACTCCACGGCCTGTCGTGGGCCTGTGTTTATTTCAAATCTTATGTGCCTGTCGTCCGAGCATGAAAGTTCGGATGACATGCGCCAGTCGATTATTTTATTAGAAATGAAGTTTGAGCTAATTGTCAAATCTAGTACCTCTTTCCTGTTTATAGTTACAAAGCTTGCAGTGGCGTAGCCAGCCTTGCGGGGCGGGAGGGGCAAACATATAAGGGGGCGCATACATTTTTTGGAGTAGGAGGGGGGGGGGGGGGGTGATAACAAATGGATGTTTGTATACTTTTGTACCATTTTCTTATTGGGGGAAAATACCGAAGTTGATTTTAAGCCTTCAAAAATAATTTTTTTTGGGGTGCCACTCCGAAAAACATTTATGTATTTGAAGCCTTAAAAGAAGTAATGTGTGGACATAACGTTAAGTTCAAAAAATCCTAGCGGACTTCTCCGGATGCCTTGAAAATTAGAACAAATCCGTGGAAATCCGGACGGATGACAGATAAATACATTGAAATTCATAATAATTGTTTTTTAATTTTGTTTTTCAGAAATTATTAGTGAAGTGGTAGAAAAAATCAGTGGTATACGGAATTTTTATTTTAATGACATCAATCATCAAAACAGAAACTATCAGGTTTCCTTTGATTGAACTGAACCATTTGCCGACAATGCCGACTTATGATGAAGAATAAAGGATGAAGAGGACATTGAGGTCAATAAAATAAATAAAAAACAGCATAATTTTATAATTTCCTATTTTTGTTTCTTAAGAGCGGTAGGGGCGCCATACGTGTAGGTGTGGGGGGGGGGGCATCGCCCCCCCTGCCCCCCTACTGGCTACGCCACTGAAAGGTTGGCTCTGAGCCTGAATTGTTTATGGTAAGCCTCTCTCCTAATAAAAAGTTGAATAAGGACTCACCTCTGTTGTTGATATCGGTGCTTCCCCAAGCTGTATGGTGGCCGTTGGCATTGCACCCTAGCACCAATTGAATGTTCCTCCTCTTGCAGTGGGCAATTAGTTCTGCCACAATTCTGGGAGAAGGAGCTTCTGCGTCTCTGTCTTCGGGGAAGTATCTGAGCCGGCGATTAATTCCGTCCTGCTCTTTCCCAGGAGGATCACATGGATGGCAGTAGTGTCCTCATTGCAAAAGCTGGAAAGTACAAAGTAGTTAATGTTGTTTCTGGCAAGTATGCATGCTCTCGGTCTTATCCGTGAGCATGTTCTATTACCTTACCAGAAGTGTTGCCCAGTTCCGTTACTCGGCCTGTGTTTGATATCCAAGGTTCTTGAATGAGGGCTATATCTATCAGCTCCTCATTGAAGACCTTGGTAAGAAAAGCGTTACTCCCTGATGGAAAACGACACGTGAGCGTTAAAGCCGGAATTCAAACGTTTGCTTGGCATCCGAGTTGGCATCAATTTTCAATCATGTAATTACTATTTCCGTGCAATAAAAGATACACTCGAATAATTTTATTTTAAATTACATATAAATAATTATTTGAACGCTGCAACAATAGGATCCATGTTAATTAAAAACATTGTATTTGTTAGTTTCATAATATTAAAATGTACTAAATTAGCACAAGTCTTTTCAATTAAAATAATATAATATTTATTTTGATTCTGATAAATTACAAACCTGTGAGTGTAATAATTGCCTGTTTAAAATAAATATTGCTGAAAAGCCTATTCGATAGGAACATGGAAATTGAACAATAATGTAAATTTTTAGAATAATTTTTGAATGGCGTTAATATTGCCAAATATAGGACACAGGCTTAATGTATCCTGGGTTTAATTATGCGAGATAGTATCTGTAGCGTAGGACGTAGGACCTCTAGTAAAAACATTAAACTTAAACGAAATTAGAGGCTGTTGATTCTTTAAAATAAAATTCTCTCATCAAGGTTTCTCGGACAAGTCAAAAGTAGCCTTCAAATTAAGCAAAACTCTTTCATCTCAATTTTTTTTATAATTTTACCACCTCGATAATTCATGTTTAGGTACGGTTCAGGCAAAGTTGCAGAAACGCGTTCGCCCTTCTGGTATAAAATTTTAAAAAAATAATTGAATTACATAATTCCCAGACAATTAGGAATTAGTTCGCTCTAAGCTCTTTAGACAAAGAGGAACCGTTCAAGAGATTAAACTCGAGTGCATAGTGCATGCCCGAAAAATTTCTGCTCTAATAAAAAGTAGACTGACTAAATACGCTTGAAACTCAATAGTGGAGAATTTCTTTTTACCGATTCGAGGGCAACGAAAATTTATGATTCGATTATGATCAAGAAAAATATATTCGTAATGCAAATCAAAACCTGACATATACGTGTGTGCATAGTCAGATTAATGTTTATCCTTTGAAAATCTACTTTGTTTGCCAAATAACATATCTCTAAATGTTCTACACGTGTGAGCTTAGTTGCAGCCTGGAGCCATCTTGAAATTATACGCATCGGAATCATCGGATTCTATTGGAGCATGGGTTTTAGAATTGGGATATCGATATTCAAAGGAAATGGTAACATATAAATCAATAATGTTGCCTTATTTAATACAACAAAAAAATACTTTGCGAAACATTACATCTGGATACAGTCTTCAAAGAGAAAATGAATAAGTAAGAACTCCAATTCAGCGTTTATATTTTATTCTATTCCGCTTATTTTTTCATTAGTTCTGCGTCTCTGTCTCTTAAGGGCCCCATACACTACGATGAAACACGACGGTTTTCACCGCCACGGTGAAACACGTCGTTCTAAAACCGAAGTGTGTAATAGAAAAACACGACGGTTTTCTACAGGGCCCCACAGACTACGATGAAACACGACGGTTTTCATCGCCACGAGGAAACACGTCGTTCCAAAACCGAAGTGTGTGGTAGAAAACCGTCGTGTTTCATTCAGTCCGAGCTTGATTTTTAGCACGACGGTTCAACATTTCGTACACACGAACGGTTTTCTACCACACACTTCGGTTTTGGAACGACGTGTTTCCTCGTGGCGATGAAAACCGTCGTGTTTCATCTTAGTCTGTGGGGCCCTGTAGAAAACCGTCGTGTTTTTCTATCACACACTTCGGTTTTAGAACGACGTGTTTCACCGTCGTGTTTTTCTACCACACACTTCGGTTTTGGCACGACGTGTTTCCTCGCGGCGGTGAAAACCGTCGTGTTTCACCGTAGTGTATGGGGCCCTTTAGACTTCGGTAAAAACAACCCGTTTCAGTCGACAATTTGGATTTTGCGGGTCGTATAAAAACCAATCGTCTTTTTGCGCTACAATTACCGGTCAGATCGAAAAATACGTTCGTGGTATAAACGAAAGACTATGACAAACAGTGAACTCGCGATCAAGGATCGAAATAAAATTCGTCCATCAATTGTAATAGGAGAGTGCCCCTGATAATATATTTTGACTTTTGTGGGCGCGTCGGAGTTACAAGCTGAAATTTTCACAGAATGAAGGTTTCATTATGTTAATTCAAAATCCCAAGGTAATACAAAATCAGAACGGGCAAAAGGGCAGTATATTTAAAAATTGAGATTATTGCATGAACGTATAGAATATCAATTTATGACTGTTGTCATACACTTCGTAATGGTAGATTAATCGATAGGGTGGGTCAAAATTAGTGGAAAATAACCCTGACATCAATTCCGAATAGCCATTTTAAGCAGAAACAAAAATAAAAAGAAAATCCTATATTTGGCTCTGGAAAATTTTCAAAATTTTGACATGGTCATGAACAATTGCCCATATCTTTGGTAAATTTGAATCAAATTATACACCATTGGAAAGAGCATTAAATTCTCTATAAATCTGTGCAAAATTGAGTTTGATAGCTCAAATAGTTTTTGAGCAATTGAGCCTCAAATTTTGTCAAAGACTTCAAACTCAATTTGCACAAAAACTATAAATCTGGAAATATTGTAAATTACAGGCCATTTAGAAATTGATAAAAGCTACAAATTTAGGAAATTTTAAGTGTACAAACACAGTGCAAGCAGGTTTCCGCTTACCGGTAACCAGCGCCGAACCGCGTTTATAGGCGCGAAAAATGAATGCATGTTTTTAAATCGGCTAGAACACAGTAAAAAGCAGGTACTCTACCTGCTTTTCACTGTGTACTAGCTCATTTGAAAACATGCATTCATTTTCCGCGCTTATAATTGCGAGTCGGCGCTGGTTACTGGTAAGCGGAAACCTGCTTGCACTGTGTTTGTACACTAATGCAATTTGCTCAACCGTTATCGAGCAATTGAGGTTTGAATATTTTGAAATCAGAATTCAAAGGGGGCACCCTTATGAAAATCTCGATTTTTTTTATTTTTCAGTTTTGCTCAATTTTGACTTCATTAATCGATAATTTGGGTCAAAATTAGTGGATAACAACCCTGACATCAATTCTGAATGGCCATTTTAAGCAGAAACAAAAATTAAAAGAAAATCCTATTTTTGGCTTTGGAGAATTTCAAAATCTTGACATGGTCATGAACAATTGCCCATATCTTCGGTAAATTTTGAGCAAATTGAGTTAAATTATATACCATTGGAAACGTTCTCCACAAATCAGTGAAAAATTGAGTTTGATAGCTCAAATAGTTTTAGAGCAATTGAGCCTCAAAATTGACTTTTAGTCCAAATTTTGTCAAAAACTTCAAATTCAATTTGCTCAAAAACTATAAATCTGGGAATATTGTTAATTACAGGCCATTTAGAGCTTAATAAGAGCTACAAATACTGAAAATTTTTATGCAATTTGCTCAACGGTTACTGAGCAATTGAGGTTTGATTGGTTTGAATATTTTGAAATCAGAATTCAAAGGTATATAATACGTGAAAGGGTTTATTGTATTTTACAATTGGCGAGAGAGAGAGGGAGTTACGGAGAAGAGCATAGGCGTATCCAGGGGGGGGGGGGGGGGCTGCCGGGCTGCAGCCCCCCCAAGGCAAGTCTAGACTATTTTTTTTTCAGCGTATTTTATGTGACATGTACAGGGTGGCCCGTTTAAGAGGGGCCTATACCTTATCTCGAAATCTACAAGGGCTGTAAAAAAAATTTAAATACAGAAGTTGTTTCTAATAAAATTATCTACAACTTTTTTGTATTATTTTTGGTGTCACTCTACTATATACAGGGTGAACAAATGAAATTGCATTTTTTTAAACGGAACATCCTATATTTTAATACATTGATATACCGTTTCGAACTTATTAGCAACTATTTTCAGGATTTGGCGTAATTTTCAACAGTCATTGTTACGTTACTCATAAACTTTTTAAACTTTTTTCTGCATGATATTTTCTATAAAATAATGCTCTTCTTTAGACTATATTCAAATTTGAAATATTTGCTTTAAAAACGCGGTGTTGCCACGTTCCGCAAAATGTTACGCTTTTCAATTTTTTTGAATGGGACCTCCTGTAAATTTTCGAGTTTTTAGATAGCCTTTTAAAAGACAAATTTAACGATATACTAGACATGGATCTGTGATGCACCGTTTCGACCTGATTGGCGTTTATCTTCAGTTCTAGCACAATATCTCATGTCATCCCTGTTGAATGAAAAAAATTTCTAATTTTGTAGTAGATTAGCTAAAATAGTGCTTTTTATGCATTAATGGTGACAATATTGAACAATTTCTATACATTAATAAACCACGTTAATAGATGGTTGAAGGAAAATAGACATATGTTTGTTATTCACCGGGCGACTTGGACAGATGAAATATTGTGCTAGAACTGAAGATAATTGCTAATCAGGCCGAAACGGTGCATCACAGACCCATTTCCAGTATATCGTTGAATTTGTCTTTTAAAGGGCTATCCAAAAACTCGAAAATTAACAGGAGGTCCCATTTAAAAAAATTTAAAAGCGTAACATTTTGCGAAACGTGGCAACACCGCGTTTTTGAAGCAAATATTTCAAATTTGAATATAGTCTAAAGAAGAGCATTATTTTATAGAAAATATCATG